GACAAACCTCTGAGGCAAGTCTTACTTAAGCCCGAGGTCTCTAGTCGATTGACGAAGTGGGCCATTGAGCTCAGCGAGTACGATATCCAATACAAGCCGCGAACTGCCATTAAGGCCCAAGCCTTAGCAAATTTCATCGCCAAATGCACATTCATCTTTGAAGACCCCAGGCCGGTTGAGCACGAGGCTCCCAACTCAGGTGAGCCCGAAGCTCCCAGGCCGGTCGAGTCCGAGCCCCGTGAGGTAGTAACCAGTGTGGCATCTCTCCTAGTTCGACCAAGCCCGAGCTGGGATGAGGAGCCCTAGATCCTTCACGTAGATGGCTCCTCAAACCAGTAGGGCAACAGAGCTGGAATAGTTCTACACGGCCCAACTGGCACGAAACTGGAGTATGCGCTACGCTTCGAGTTCACGGCATCTAACAATGAAGCAGAGTACGAGGTGTTGATAGCTGGACTAGCTCTAGCCAGAGAAGTAAAAGCCAAGCACATCGTTATCTACAGCGACTCCCAGCTTGTGGTCAACCAGGTCACCGGCGAGTACGAAACTCGCGAGCCAACCGTGATCGCCTACTTAGCCAAAGTCAGAGAGGCCCTGCTCAACTTCCAATCACACTTTATCAGACAAATCCCTAGGTCAGAGAACGCCGAGGCCGACGCCCCTTCCAGGTTAGCCAGCACCAGCAACATCACCATGAGAACCGTGTACATAGAGGACCTGTCTCGGCCTAGCATTCTTAGGGGGGCAGAGGAGGTCGCTCCCGTCGTTCAAGCAGATCCAAGCTGAATTGACCCGCTCGCAAGCTTCTTGCTACATGGGACCCTCCCTGCAGACCGCAATGCAGCTAGAAGTGTGCAGCACCAGGCAACCAAATATGTCATGATAGACGAACAACTATACCAGAGATCTTACACACTCCCCTACTTATGTTGCTTCCGACCTACCGAAGCCAAGCTCGTACTCCGCGACACCCATGAGGGTCTATGCGGTGGGCACTTGGAGGGCAGGGCCCTCGCCCAAAAGGCACTCCGACAAGGGTATTATTGGCCAACAATGAAGGCATATGCTATTGAGCTCGTCAAAAAATGTGACAAATGCCAAAGACATGCCAATATTCACCACCAACCCGCTGCCGACCTCAAGTATCTCACCAGCCCGAGGCTCTTTGCGTAGTGGGGCATCGATTTACTCGGGCCATTCCTACCAGCAACGGGTGGAAGAAAGTTCTTAGTAGTGGCAGTGGACTATTTTACCAAGTGGGTAGAAGTCGAGCCCCTCGTGACGATCACAGCCCGAAATGTCCAAAACTTCTTTTGGAAGAACATCATGTGCCACTTCGGATTACCTCGGGTGTTGATCTTCGACAACGGCAAGCAATTCGAGGACATCAAATTTCAAGACTGGTGTTGAGACATGGGGACCCAACAAAATTTTACTTCAGCCGCGCACCCTCAAGCAAACGGTCAGGCAGAAGTCACGAACAGAGCCATCCTCCGTGGACTAAAGGCACGACTGGACCGAGCTAAAGGATTGTGGGCAGATGAACTATCCAGTGTCCTATGGGCCTACTAGACCACGGAGAAGACCGCCATGGGAGAAACACCCTTCAATCTCACCTATGGCACCGAAGCAGTGATCCCCGCAAAGATCGAAGTACCTACGTTGCGCCTAGAAACATACAGTGATCAAACAAACGAAGATGAGCTACGTACCAACCTCGACCTACTCGACGAAGTAAGGGACCTCGCGTACATTAGGACCGCAGCCTACTAGCAGAGAGTAGCTCGGTACTATAACATCAGGGTCAAGAGGCGAAACCTCCGCGTTGGCGACCTGGCCCTTCGTAAAGTTATGGTGCCTAAGCCCAGCGCTGGCAAGCTCGGGTCCAACTGGCAACGGGCTCAACGGGCTTAACGGCAAGTTCTGCCATCACCTCGGGCCCCTTAAGCACAACCCCCTCCTCCAAGTCAATGACGGGCATAGTTGCCACCTCGGGCCCCGAAGCAGAAGTCTGCGGAAGTCGAGGTTCGGCTGAAGCTTGCGGGGACCCAATGCACACCTTCTATGCCACGCGCTTCTTCCTCTTCATCTGGTGGAAGAGCTTCTGGTTGTCTATCTTTTCCGCCTCCATGGAACCTGCGGTGAAATACGACATCAGTAACCCGAAGCAAATATATGAGCGGAAAAGCCGAAGTGGGAAAAACCTACCCGGACTCAAGCCCGCTCGAACGAGCTTCTCCTCAGAAGTGAAGTCTTTATAATGCAACCCGAGCTTAGCTAGTGACTGGAGCTCCTTCTTGGTCTTCCCGTCCAGGATGACACCAGGGTCTTGAACGGCTATCCTCCAATCGGTGGGGAAGGGCCACCCCATGTTGCTCCGGACTACGAAGTAGTCCCGCTTCCAAGCTGGGACTTTGCTCGGGAGCTTGTGCATGAGTTTAAAACTTGGGCGGGGGGACAAGTAGTAAGACTGCCTATGCCCGGGGAGAGCGCCCGAAGCGCTCTTCTTTATAGCCAAGATCGTACTAAGAACATCTAAATCTATGGAAARGAAACGGTCAAAACAAAGAGAAATGGACCCCACCACATTCCGTATGGAGTTCGGGTGGAGTTGGTCCAGGGTAATGTTAAAGTGTACYAACACCTCAACAATTAAAGGGTGAAGTGGAAGTCCGAGCCCAGATATCAGTTGCTCCCTGAATATCACAATCTCGTTGGGACCGTGCTCCCATGGAAAATTGCCGGTGGGAAGACTATATGAGTACTTGCTAGGGAGGCGGCACCTCTATATGAGGTCCTAAAGCCTCTCCGAAGTCATTATGGAAGGCCCGAACTGATCTGGTTCCCGACCTCGGTGAGAGGTAGACGCCAGATGACCCGAAGCCACCCGTACTTCGGATGGCTGGGTAGCAGAGGGGACATCCCGAGCCGAGGTACCTACCTCGGGCTCGTCGATGAGACTGTCTACACCAGACGACATACCGGACTAACAGAAAGAAGCAAACTAGAAGGGAAAAGGAAACTCGGGAGGACTCACCAAAGAAACGCAACCGGACTGGAAGAACAGAACGAACTGGAGAACCCGAGCTAAGAAACCCCTGGCGCAAGCTCAAACGCTAACGATGAAAGCTTTGTGGCGAAGAAAATGGCCAAGGGACCCCCTATTTATAGCCACAACTGCGGGTTCTTCGAGGCGAAAACAATTTAGCGCATTTTTGACGTCCGCGAAGTCAAAGTCGCGTGAAGTCCGCGCGTAACCCGGAGGCGACTCGAATCTCTTTTCGGTCGAGCCAGGCGCTAGACCGGTATAGCTGGATGGAACGCATGACAACGCAGCACAAACACTGACGCCAAATCCATCCAACGCGTCATGACTTCCTTGCGCTGGGTCACCGCCGCCAGCGCTGGGAGTGGGGGGCAATTGATGGAGGGTGATTTGGCCCGACCTCGTAGCTCAGGTACACGTAGGCGTGACCTAGCTCAAATAGTGACTCAGCATGACAGCACAATGGACGTGAGCACAACTCGGTGGGGAAGTCCCACCAAGTTCAGCACGGCAACCCGGCAGGTAAACTACTCGCCGAAAGCCGCCTCGCCCGTACCTCATCCCCGGGGTTAAGGTACTTTGGGGGGTCCCGAGTTCGGGGCACCCTGACCCCTTTTGAGACTCGAGCTCCTCCCAATGGACCTCGGGCCACTCCCAAGCAAGAACGCACCGATTCTTCTTCGAACGCCCCGAGGCACAAAGACCTCGGGTCAGCTAGCTCGGCATAACTGGCTGCAGGTAGCCCGTCACTCAAGGGACGGCCCAGCTCAGGGCAATTCGCAAGAGAACAGCTCGGTATACCATAGGAGGGCTTCCTACCCGACCGCCATACCCGACAAGCCTGCGAATTGCAGGCATGTTCCCTCGCCGCGCCTGCCACCTTTAGAAAGGCGTCCCACACCTGACAGACACGTACCCTGCACGACGGCCCCCGCGCGTGCCACCTCAGCCCTATCTGTAACGGCTGTGGCAGACTGACAGTGGCAGTTATACCTGCCCTGTCAGAAGTCAGAGGGTCGGGAGCAACGGAATTCAGCTATAAGGAACTTATCCTCAAGGAACAAAGTATCTTGAATGACTAGCGCAACCTGCACTCTTAGTGTTCATTCTCTTTCAGCTTCTTGCACACAGTACTAACTTAAGCATCGGAGCGTTCCCGCCGGGAAAACCCTCGGGAGTTCTTCATCCTTCCTCTCGTTTCAGGTACATCTCAGGAGCCATGCGAGCGCCAGTTAGGAGTGACCGGATTGTGCTACATCAATTATAATATAAATAGTTAGCATTAAATATTTATTTTAAAAACATATAAAATGAGTTGATATAAATATAAAATGATTATTTACAAATTATTATGTACCTTTATCAATGTTTATTGAAGTTCTCTGAGTTTCAGATGCAGAACTCTGTGCAAAAATTTTGGTATTTTCGATTGCATTGATTTGAAGTTAGTTTGTTATTTTATGAGTTAGCTATTTCTTAACGTATCTGCTCAAATTTCCACTTTCATATTTTTTAGGAAATGATTGAGAGTGGAAACATCCACTTCATACAGCACTCCACTTTAAAGGGCTCAACTATGCATATTAGTGGATTATGTTATTGAAAGATAATTATTAGAAGAAGATATGTATTTAATTTGTTTATGAATTTGAAAACACAGGTGCCTAAATGTGTCTAAAAGAATCACATATGAGAGGAGGCTTTGGCCTAAAATCATTCTTTTAATATATATATATATTAAATTTAAAAATACAATTTTCTAATCGAGGGAAATCTGGTTGACCTGAAGTCATTCCTTTAATATTTTTAAATATATATATTTGAAAATACAAGTGTCTAAATGAATTCTCTAATCATAACCACTAATAAACGATCTACGCAGTACGAATTCACTGCAAGTGCACAGGGTGCACTGTAACCTCGAAAGGGGGTCCCTAGCTTCATCAGTGAACTCTTACACCTCTTCGACCTGCAGAACGCATATGACATCAGATCGTCGGAGAGAGAGATGGGTTTGGAGTCAGTTAAGAGATGGTTGGAGAGAGGAGATGGCGACAGTGAGAATACTCCAATTCCTCTGCCTCCCAGACTCATCGACTCGCTCGTCGCTCAAGGCATCAAATTCGATCTGGTCGAACCTGGTCGAGTTGTCTGCTCCATGAAAGTCCCTCCTCGTCTGGTGGTAAGTCAAACACACATACACTCACGAGTGAGACGAAGGACAGATAAAAGTTCAGAAATCTTTCTCTCTCGGTTAACAATTTTCATTTTATGATTCTGGGTTTTCGTTTTCTTGTCGCGTTAAGAATTCTCGTAATTTACTGCATGGCGGGGCGACGGCGTCGCTAATTGATTTCGTGGGTGCTGCCGTAATCTTCAGCGCTGGAGCTGTAAACAATGGTGTTTCTTTAGAGATTAACGTGTCTTACTTGGATAATGCGCTTGCCAACGTGAGTACCTTCTCTGTTTCTTTGTTTCCTTTAAAACTGTTTTACTTGAATTTAGGTTTTATATTGTTTCTTGTTTTTGTTATGGTAATTGAATTTGGTGAACAGTGATTGCTTTGTAAATTGTGAAGAAAAAGGACGGATTTTCTTTTTCACTTTTTAATCATCAAGAAATTTCAATTTGATGGCAAAGCAAATTGATAAAATCAGTAGACATTAATCTGCAAGAGAAAAACTGAGGCTCCATTTTAGTTTCTGAGTTTCTAACATAAACATACAAGATGAAGACATGGTAAAAGTAGGAAGCAATAACAAAGTTAATATAAACATGAAAATTGAGGCAAGTGAAAATATTCCAAAAGTTGATGCTTACAAAGCTCAGCCTGTCTTATGTATTGCCTAAAGAAATATTACAAACTTTTGATGCCTAAAAGCATAGTACCAAAATAACTGAGCAAAAGGGGTAGTTGGAATAAGAAGACAAGCATAAGATTAAAAGGAAAGCCGGCAGCTAGTGATGCCTGGCATGCGATCTAGCTGTTAGGAGATTGCTTAGTGTGATATCTACTGTTGGGTTGGTTCTGCAACTGTCATGTACTGGGAAATAATTGTAGAACTCCGGCAGTTGGTAGGCAAGGACGATTACTTGAATGTTGGAGCTTGCTGGATGTGATGGTGTGGTTGGGTCATCGCTATGTGAAGTCATTGCGATGAGCATGATGTTTTCATTACAACCAAAGCAAGAGTCATGTGATCACAGGCCAGTGCGGTTTTGCAACTTCATATGATGAGTGATGATTTGTTCCTCATCACGGTCCTGTGACTTCATCGCATTGTGGATATTCCCCTGCTAGATATGGTCTCATTGTAGCCAGATTCCCTTTCATCGCATCTATGGGAGCCTCGGACTACATCATATCGAAACTGATGGTATTTGGGGTGTGAGCTAAATTTGGTGTAGGGAGTATCTTTGTCAGTTTATAAGATTTTCTGTAGGTCCAGCCTAATAGTTTGATATTTCTAATTATAATTTAATTGTGCTTAAAATTTCAAGTAATTGGTTAAGTAGTTTACGAGTTATATATAGGCTGTTTAGCAATCTGCCCGATTTTTTATTTTTTTTTTTTACTGATGTGGTGATTATTTTTGTTTTAAACGACAAAACCATACATATTGATGAGCACTCCTTATTCTTTTATTGTTAAGAGTAGGTGTAGTAGTAAGAAATGATTTGTTACAAGTGGAAGGGGTTAGAGGAGTTATGGGTAAACCAAAAAGGACATGAATGAATAGAAGTGGTAAGAAATTATTTAAGCACCGACAATTTAACAGAAGATATGGTTTTAAATAGAATGGATTGGTGAAAATTGAATTCTTTTGAAATGCATTGGTGCCGAACACCAACTCATTAGCTTATTGGTTACGAGCCCAATGGGTGAGGGCATAACTTTTAGGGGTAAGCAAAAAAAAAAAAAAAAACTGAAAATCTGAATCGACTGAAACCGAATCAAAAAATAGTTAATCAAACCGGCCGGTTTGGTTTCGGTTCAATACTTTTAGAAAACCGACAATTTCGGTTCGGTTTTGACTAATCATTTAAAAAAATCGGTAGTTAATCGAACCAACCTATATATATATATATATATAATATTTTTATATAATATTATATATTATATATTTTAAATCTAATAAACACATTTAAAGTTCTAAACTACCGAACTGACTACTGATAGTTAGACTTTCAGGCTGCCAGACTGGCAAACAGCCTATCGGACAATCTGAGTCGTTTGACTCTAACACCCGTTGCGTACGCACAGAATCCCTATTCCCTATTTCCCTCATCCCTTTCTTTCTCCCTCTCTCTCTCTCGGACTCTCACTCCCTCATACTCCCTCTCTCTCTCTCTCTCTTGCCTCTCAGTCTCTTTCTGTGTTCTCTCTCTTGCCTCTAGGACTCTCTCTGAGCTCTCTCCCTCACCTCTTCGGCGACATCGGAGGCTTGGCTTCAGGTTAGAGGCTCTATTGCATCTTGACGACACCGGCGAAGTGGCATTCCAGTTCTCTTCGATTGTTTTTCCTTTTCTTTTTAAATTATAAGGGCATAAAAAAAAATTGAAAAACCGAGTCGCGATTAACTGATCCACTGATTAACCGGTTGACCAGTTGACCGGTTAGCGAATTGCATCGATTTGATTTCGGTTCGATTAAATGTAAAAATCGAACATACCGATTCAGTCCAAAAATTTACCCCACAGTTCGGTTAATTGAATCATGAGCACCCCTAATAACTTTTGATCATTTATGGGCTCTGGAGTCTGGACTTGTGCTCGAGTTGAGATCTTCTACCAACAATACACGTTCCAACCCTCTACCAACTTGGTCTAATAACACACATTTCACTAACCCACCATAAAAGTGGGATCTACCATGTATGAGATATGTGGTGTGAGATTATGTTGATAGAGGGTTGAAACGTATTTCGTTCGCAGGTGATCGAAACTCGTTGAGCTCTACCTTGGTTGGAGAGATCTATAATGCAAATTACAAAAAAAAAGGAAAAAAAAAAAAAGAAAGAAAAAGCCCATAATGAACCCACCCACCTCCGCCACTCCGCCAAATTAGATCGATCATTCACTCAAAGTCAGAAGAACTGTTCAGTATTGGACGGTCCGGTCCGGTTTGTGAAATTTCCATGAGTAATCTCCTGCCAATAAAATATGTTTCATGTGATCTCCTCTGGTCCCAATCACATGTTCTGTGTGGTGTTAGATGATTTTGGAAGGGTGTTGAGACGGAAACACCAACCCTATTGGAACCAGCAATAGATTAGAGAAGTCGAAGTCTTCTACGGAGTATGGAGTATTAGATCAATTTTGGGAATATTTCCGTACTTATGAGTTGGATTTCACGGGGAATGGTTCGAACGGGCCTAGCACTGACGGAATCCGAGCTCGGACTATTATGCACTGCAAACAGACAGTGGTCAAGCGGACAAATCCCTCCACAAAAGCTACTTTTTGGGTTTTTGGGAGTTGGAGTTGTAGAGCGCGCTAGATATCAATTTGTCTGTGTCTGGGAGTCTGCAAAGGACACAGACAGATGGATTTGGAATCAGTAAAGAGGATGTTGGAGCGAGGAGACAACAAGAGCGGGAATGCTTCACTGGATGCTCTGCCTCCCAAATTCTTCGACCAATTCATCGTTCAAGGCCTCAAAGTTGATCTGATTGAACCTGGTCGAATTATCTGCACCATGAAAGTTCCCCCTCGTCTTCTGGTAAGTCGAACCCACAAACTACTGGTGAGTGGTAAATGTTCTTAAGGTTCATGATCTCAGTTAACAATTTTGATTTTGGGGTTCTCGGTTTTCGTTTTCTTGTTGGATTAAGAACTCTGGCAATTTCCTGCATGGTGGAGCGACAGCATCGCTAATTGATTTGGTGGGCTCGGCGGTAATCTCTAGCGTTGGATATGTAATCACGGGTGTCTCGTTAGAGATCAATGTTTCTTACCTGGATGCTGCGTTTCCTGACGTGGGTACCCACTGACCTATTTCCTTGGTTTGATTAACCCCCTTTTTCTTGAATTTGGGCTATATTTGTTTGGATGATTTGTTTCATTAATTGAAGTTGGTGAATGGTATGTAATTTACTAATTTTAAAGAAAAAAAAGATGTGTCTTATTCTTTTTAATGTTAATTTAATCATCAAGAAATTTCAGTTTGATGGCAATACAAATTTTCAAAAACAAGTCATTGATCCCCAATTAAAATTTGATACTTATTGTTGAAGAATGTTCAGTTCTGATTTATCCAAAAAAAAAAAGAATGTTCAGTTCTGGCAAGGGTGGGGATGATTAATAATTTCTACTAGTAGCTTTTGGATTAGACTTCAGGCTACTCTGTATTTAAAATCGTGGTTAAAGAATAAAAGAACCTTTTGAGCTTGTAGAATCCAGATTCCAGAGTATTGATTTTTGGTTACAGGTTTGGGGCCAGTTGAAACAGTGCAGATTGGATTGCAGTGGAACTGTTTTGTTCCTGAACATGAGACACTACGTGAAAGCAAGATTGTTTGGGTGTAGTATTTAGGCCATTCCTTATGTTAATTCTAATAGTTGCAAAGTTGATTGTCATTGAAGGAAGAGGAAAGGGGAAAGATGTTTGTATCATTTCTGTAAATTGTTTAATCAAGGGAGATATTGGAAGGATGAAAAGTATTTGTTTGAACAAATTCAGTAGTACAAGATGTGTCTGGACTAAATGGGTCGTTTATTTCCTTCTTGTTCATGCATAGGCTTCTTATGGGATAAAATTCATGGAAGCATTGTGAAAACCTGAACCAAAGCCTGAGCATCGATTACTTTGTTAAACAAGCTTGGCACCATCTTCAAGTGTTTCCTTACTTCCATGGCCATATACTGAACAAAATGGCCACTCTCAGACTCAAATGCTGTCTTGGATAGACCAAGATTTTTTGTATATATAAAAATTGATAAAAAGATAAGAAAAAAAACAAAAATTTCAAAATAACATCGTTTCTAACTAGGCTGCCTAGTCAGTAGTCAACTTAGTTGATGCTTAGTCATCCTTGGCAGCTGCGTCATTGTTATCCAACCAATAGTGCAGTCAGTTGGTCCTTTAGAATTTAGACTATTCAGTCGACTAGTGGATGCTTTTATTAGCATTGCATCATGTATTAATACTGATTATGAGGATGGACCAGACATTTCCATTTGAATCATAATTGTGACCCATATCTTGTTGCTCTGTCTGAGTCTGTATTTCAAATCTCACCATCAAGAGCATCTTTTGTGCTCTTGGTGGTTGCAGAGCTAGATTCCATTTATAATGAAGCTTTTTGAAATTAAAGGAAGTTGCATAAATCATTTCAGTATGTTATGATATGCTGCTTCCTCCATTCTAAGAATAATTATCTAGAATTCTTTTTTTACCCCATTTTAAGGATACTATTATATGGGTGGAATGAATTGGTAAAATGAGTCTGATCAAGTAAAATCTTCTTTTCTTTTTCTTCCCTCATCTGTAACAGCAGAGCATGATCTTACAGTATGTCCATATATATGCACATCATAGCCCTTTTATGTAGAGACATTTATTCCCTGTTGACAAGCCTTTTATCATGTCTGTGTCCTCTTATTGAGGTGAAGAGTTCCTCACATTTGATGTTGCAAGTTGTGCTGCTGGCAGCTGAAATGCCCATTAACTGGATCAATGCTGGAAAATGACTTGGTTCCTTGTTCCTATTCTTGAAATGGATCAATAGATAATTAGCACCTAAGTTTGTGATGATTTTCCTATATTATACTATTAAAAATGGTTTTTCCTATATTATCTTATGATGACCTAAATTTATTTTATTAATTAATTTTTTAAGCTGTTTTGTGGAATTTTATATATATATATACCTCCCCCAAACTAGATGCAGGTGGGATTCGACCCCATGTCTCTGCTACAACCAGCAGAAGACCTTACCAACTAGCCAGTTGGCACTTGGCAGCTTGCTTGTTTATGATTGTTATTTGTTAATAATGATTAGTCAGGTGGTTTAATAAATTGGGATTGGAACTCATAGACATAAGTTTTTTGTTAATTGTATCTATTGGTTGGCAATTTTCTTCTGGGTGATATTGTTGATTGAGCCACTGAGAAGTACTGGTTCAGGTTTTCATTAGTAGACTTTGTGTGTTCTCCTTCCCCTGGTAGTCAGATGGCTGAGGTTCATCTGCAAGTTGAGTGTTTTTATTTTGGAAATCTCTTTGTATGGACTTCTTTGGATTAAAATTGAAATATACTAACTTGGGCATGTGGTATGCATTCTTTCCTGTGGTGATTGATTCAGGAAGAGATTGAGATAGAGGGCAAAGCTTTACGTATTGGAAGGACAATTGGAGTTGTCAGCGTGGAGCTGAGGAAGAAGAAAACCAGGAAGATTGTTGCCCAGGGGCGTCATACAAAGTACCTTGCCATCTCTAGTAAAATGTAAAGGATCTGCTATTCTTTCCCTTCAGGTGGACTTCACTTAAGGTGTGTGTTGGGGGGGGAGGAAGTCAACCATAAGAGTTTAGGGGCACTAGTTCTCATAAACCCAAATGATTTTTTTTTATAGTATGGAGAAAATTCATTAATAAAAAGTGTACAATAGCCAGATGGGGTGATGGGTTAGCACCCGATATCGAAAAGATATGTATGAAAATGAACTAGATCATAATGAGAAAAGTACTTCATACATCAATCAGATTGAACTATCAAAAGACATTTCAAAATTATCTAAAAATCCCAAACTAAAAGAAGATATATCCTTTTTTTTATCAATTAAAAGAAGAAGATATATCCTGCCTAGAAAAATCTGGTAGAAGTAGAACCCAATCCACAATCATATTCCCAATATTAACACAATTCTTTTGATGCTTTTTACATCTGTTTTTTTTTTTTTTTTTTTTTTGGAAAAGGCAAAGTATATGTTCATTAAACAAAAGATCTGTACATGAGATACCCTATATTACCAGTATGTACCCTTAGCCCACCAACTTATAAAATACTCTACTGCTCTATTTATCACCCTTGTTTCTTGGGATGCTTTTTGTTCAAGAATGCCCCTTTCTTGCAGAAGATCTTTAACTGAGAAGGTGCACCACTAGTGCAGATCGAGTGCTCTTGTGAAGTAACAACACACAGCTGAACTGAAACTACAGTGCACAAACAAATGGCCAACTCTCTCTTCCTCTCTGTAGCAAAGCACACAAAGTCTGTCTTGGACAGTGTACCCTTTTCTCAGTAACACTTCCTTAGTCAGACATTTCTCCAAGGCTACAACCCAAGTGAAAATTTTTTCACTTTGGAAGGTGTAGCAGGCCCTTATAAAAGGACTTGACTCAGAAGACCCTGGTAGGAGTCCACTTTCAACATCTAGAGTCTTGAGTCTGTAAGTCCAGATGTTGGTTCTGAACTAGAGCCAGAAGATCAGCAGCATCAGCTACCTGATCAATCTCCCAATCATTAAAACTTACTTCTGAACAAAGGACTCCAGCATATCATTCTACCATTCACCTCATAGGAATCTGCCACCCAAGCCAGTTCGTTTCTTGCCATATTAAACAAGGAAATCTGTCTTCTATTCCAACTCACCTCGCCAAGGATCAAGCCAAAATCTCACCTTCCTCCCATCTCCCACCTTGAAGATCAACCCCTCACTGGAATTGCTGTAAGCTTGCACCCATAGGATGAAAGGGGAGTTTTCTGCATCCCAGCCATTCTTACAATGACAACTTCTCAGCTATAACCTTCCTGTAAAGATTGTTTGGTTCTGTAGCAAATCTCCAAAACCATCTACCCAAAAGGCTAAAAAGTTTAACCCTCCTTAAACCCCGACCTCCATGAGACAGGTTTGCAGACCTGATCCCAACTCACCAAGGATCATGCCACACCCATAGGATGCTTTTTATATCTTTTGAACAAACTTCCGTTTCTTTCTCTTCAAATACTTAAGCAAATAAAGAATCTCACATATTCAAAATTGCTACACATGTATTATTTTAATAATCTACCCGGGCCCGAAGAACAAAACAACAACCCAAAGCACCAAAATGTAAACTGTGATTTTGTAATAATCATCATTGATCGATTGTGTGATTATATCTAAGTAAATATAGACATTTTTAGTTAAGGTAAAACAATAAAGGAGTATCTTTCCTATTATATATAATATGATTGTGTGGAGGCCAAGGGTCTATCACCATAGGCCTTACTCCCCTTTTCCCCTTTACACGTGAAATATTAATAAAACCTTCATGTCTTAAATTTTTGGGAAAATTCCACTTTAGTACCCTGAACTTTGGGGTAGTGTCAAGTTAGTACCCAAACTTTTAAACGTGTCACTGTAGTACCTGAACTTTCAAAAAGTGTCAAGTTGGTCCCTACTGTTAACTAGCCATCAGTTATCTATTGGGAATGTCAAAACTATCCTTTAAAAGAAGGCAATGTTCATTGTCTTTTCGACCACCTTCTGCGGGTTCAATGAAGAGTTGGAATCAGTTTGCTAACCTCTTCCCCACACACTTTGTGATGAGTAAAAGTCGGCGACCTATTTATTGAATGTGGTCTAACGACTTGATGAGAAGCTCTAGGATTACATCAAGTGGTTCAACTTGGAGCGGTTATAGATCTTGAACCTCAAACCTAGCCATCTAGCTCATCGTGATTGTTAATGGCGTCCGACACCCTAACTTACACTGGGAGGTCGAGTTGAACATTCCAATCTCCATGGAGGAGTTTCTCAACCAAGCAACCAATTTCATAAAGGTTGAAGAAGTGCTTGGATCCTGGTTAGAACTGAGTGGAAAATGGAAGAGGTCGAAGGATGAGTCCGAAAGCAACAAGCAGTGGCAGAAGAGCAAGTCGCCAAGATGAAGCAGGTCCCTACATAGTCAGCGTATCAGGTTACCATGGAGAAGAAACAGGTCCCCCTATAGAGGCAATAGATCCTCAGGCATGCGTTCTCACACCCCTCCCATCTAGAATTGCAACTACACTACTCTGAACGCTAAGAGGGGAGAAATTCTGATGCAAATAAAGGCGGATGAGTATGTCTGGTGGCCACCAAAGATGAGAGGAGACCCAACCAATAGGAACATGAATAAGTATTGCCACTTCCATAGGGACATCTGCCATGATACAGGGAACTGCCATAATCTCAAGACGAGATTGAGGAGTTGATCCATCGAGGTTACCTGAAGCAGTTCATTAAGCATGAAAATTGCCATTAACCTATTGACCAGCCCAAAGAAGCACTGCAATCGAGTAGGGATCAAAACAGGGACCAGCCTCCCCGAGACCCACCACTAGTAGAGCAGTCCATCTGTGGTGTGATTAGCATGATCACAAGTGGGTCCATTGTGGTAGGATGCAACACATCGGTGGGAAAGAACTCAGTCTAGGAGCTCGTGCATGAAGACAAGAACCCACTTAAGTACCCTTGCGTGGAGGAAGTAATTTACTTCACTGAGGATGATGCTCGCGTGATCTAGTATCCACATGATGATGCTCTCGTGGTCAAGTTAGTGATGAATGACTTCTAGGTAAAGTGGATTCTGGTTAACTCCGATAACTCGGTGGACATCATCTTCCTGGAGGCATTCGAGCGGATGGAGTTGGAGAGGAAGGACCTACAACCGGCCGATGTTCCCCTAGTCGGCTTCAGTGGAGAAGTTGTGACCTCTAGGCCGCATAAGAGTACCAGTGACAGCGGGCTTGCCACCAAACTAGGTGCACTTCGACCACAACTTCCCAGTAGTCGCAACTCCCTCGTCTTACAACTTCATCTTAGGCTGACCAATCCTACACGCCCTTAGAGTCGTGGTGTCGACCTTTCACCTGTCGATGAAATTCTTGACAAACTACGGAGTAAGAGTGGTGCGAGGAGATCAACTTAAGTCATGGAAGTGCTATGTGCCCACGCTCAAAGACAAAGGATAGCAGGTCACTGATGTCAACTTGGAGCCACCCCTAGAGAATAGCGACAAGAGAGCTTGCCCCATGGAGGACATTGTCCTGGTGTCGGTCTCAGATACCGACCTAGTGAAGACGGTGCAGATTGGATCCCGCTTCACAAAATACTCTATGTTCTGAACTGGTAAGTTTTTTAATTAATAATTTAGATGTTTTTGCTTGGCCAGCAATGGAAATGCTCGGCATAGACCCTTTTGTCATAACTCATAGGATGAATGTTGACCCTTTAGTCAGACTAGTCTAGCAAACTGAAACAATTGGCAAGCTGAAAAAACTTGCAAAAACATCTAAAAAAAATGTTGACCCTTTAGTCAGACTAGTCTGGCAAAGAAAAAGGAACCTTGCCCAGGAGTAGAGCTTATGACAACCTCGGAGGCTACTACTAGTGTGGCACTCGACCCGACTTGGGACGAGGAGCCCTAGATCCTCCATGTGAATGGCTCTTTCAACCAGTGCGGAAGTGGAGCTGGATTAATCCTCTATGAACCTAGCAAAGTGAAACTGGAGTACAATCTACGATTTGCATTCTGAGCTTCAAACAATGAAGCTGAGTATGAGGTGTTGATAGCTAGGCTATTGTTGGCAAAGGAGGTCGGCACGAAACATCTCGTGGTGTGCAACGACTCTCAATTAGTGATGAACCAAGTGAATTGGCAGTATGAGGCTCAGGAACCCACCATGTTGGCCTACTTGGCCAAGATTAGAAAACTCCTACCCAACTTCCACTCTTGATACATCCAACAAATTCTGAGGTCTAAGAGCACCGAGGTCGATGTGCTCTTGAAGTTGGATAGTGTAATGGATATCACGAAGAGAACAATTTACATTGAAGACCTATTACAACTTAGCATAGAGAGGGTGGCAGAAGAGGTCGCTCCTGTTTTGGCTACGGAACTGAGTTGGATCGACTCACTTGTTGACTATTTGTGCCACGGGACCCTACCAGCGGAACACATTGTAGCTCGGAAGGTAGAGCGGCAATCAACTCGCTATATTATCATTGGCAAGCAACTGTATCGCAGGTTGTTCGTGCTCCCCTACCTACGCTGCTTGTGACCAATAGAAGCGAATTAGGTTCTACGCGAAATCCACGAAGATCTCTATGAAGGACACTCGGGGGGGGAGGGGGGGGCAAGGCGTTGGCCCAGAAAGCTCTAAGACAAGGCTACTATTGATCGACAATGAAGGCGGATACAGTGGAGTTAGTCCAGAAGTGCGACAAATGTTAGTAGCATGCTAACATACCACATCAACCTGTTGCCGACCTGAAGTACCTCACTAGCCCTGTGGCAGTTTGTACAATGGAGGATAAATATCCTTGATCCCTTCCCACCTACGACCAGGTAGAGCCATAGAGGAGGCTCTTAGTGGTCACGGTAGACTATTTTACCAAGTGGGTGGAAGCCGAGCCACTGGTGTCCATCATAGCTTACAATGCTTAGAATTTCTTTTGGAGGAACATCGTCTGTAGACTCAGACTCCCCAAGGTATTGATATTGAACAACGGGAGGTAGTTCAAAGACATTAAATTCCAGAATTGGTGTGCCGAGATAGAAATCCAATAGAACTTCACCTCAGTGACCCACCCCTAGGCAAATGGTCAGACTGAAGTGATGAACCAGGCAATCCTCCGCGAACTGAAACCTTGGCTTTCCCAAGTTAAGTGTTTGTGGGTGGATGAGTTGCTCAATGTTCTTTGGGCCTACCAAACTACCATCAAGA